GTGTATATCATAAACAAGAATGACTTCAAACGCGTTGTTCAACAACTAACAAGTTATGAATCATGCGAGTCTTTACCTCAAAACGTTCCAAAGCGTCAGAAGATTAGACCGGAAGCGATAAACCGGACCTCATCGACAATTCCTCTCAATGACATACCGGTTCAAGAGGATCCTGATGTTTCGTTGTATATGCGTTATCTTCAAAGCTTACTCGAAGACTCATCAGGATCTAATGAAGACCCATTTCAACAACCACCTCAAGCTCATTCGCAACATCAAGTTGTTGAACAAACCATGCCATATTCTAATTATCTTGAACCGGTCATGACCACTACTTCGCCTTCACCGTGGTGGTTTGATGGTTCGGACCAGCAAATGAACGGTGATTACTCATTAGAATCAACAAGAGTTGAGTATCCTTCTCACCCACTGACTCCAAATTTTACATTTTCGTCTATGACTCAACATGGAGTTTTCGAGCCGGATCTAGAATATCCTTAAATCTTCCTACATCTCTTGGACTCATGTTCTCGGTTTCCGAAATTTGTTAGAACAAGAGAGGTTTAGAGAGATGATGACAAAAAGATTACTCTCATGTACTCCATAAATTTGTTTCTCTTATCACTAAATTAATAACTCTTTTTTTCTCACTTACCATTATTGCTCTTTCTTGTAAATGTGTATATGATTATCAATGAATTAGATTCCTCAAAATATCATTTTCCATTGATGAAAAACTTGTGAAAATATCAAATTTGTTACTTTTTGTTTTCTCTCAATTCAGAAGCAAGAGACTGAAGAAACAGAGAGAGGGTAAGAGAAGATATTAGCATATTGAAAAGAGAGAGTCTGTCCGGGACCAAGAGGTTCACCGTCATTGACTAAACAATCATCATAGCTGAGTCGCCGGAAAACTCTAGGGTTAACCAGTCTGACCGAGCTGAACCAGCCGCAATTGACGTGAATCTCTGCGATACTGCAATCAGAGACACATGAGTTGACAATCTCAACTGTATATGCAGGAACTCCATTTGGAAGCGGAGCCGTCGAGCCTTGAAAGACGACAATATCTTCTTTCGAGCAATCTTGTCCGATCATGTTGCTCCCCTCAGTGGTATCTGAAAAATGTACTGAAGATGTGTCTTTAGGATTCTTTATTAGATCAAAACAGGTGAACAAAATTTGCCTGCTTCATCGATGTTGAACCTACGGCTCGAACAATGAATTTATAGTAGATAGGAGGTCGGAGAATTCCGTGTATTAGAAGTTGAGCGCGAAATGAGTATTACAGAGTAGATCGCTACAGATAGTCCGGAGAGATCCCGGTCTATCTGATCACTATGAGCTAGAAAGAGTGTAGTTGACCGGACAGATCTCGGGCTATTTGGTCGTTGCGAACTAGTACGTAATGTAAATGTTTTTGGTGTTTCCCGGTCGGCGATGGATTTTTTCGGTGAATTCTCTGTCGGAGTTAGAGACCTGAACGATTATGCTCTGGGCCCCTTGTACTCTCTATCAGAGGAATGGAAGATGGAAGGTCACATCCAATTATTCCCCTATTTATAGTACAAGGTTTTGAAGGTACATACTAGATTTTATTAACCATAGTTACCGAATCTGACTCAGGCTTAACCAAACTGCGGTTACTGTTCGAGTTGGGCTTCCATTATTCTCGGGCCGCTGACCGTTGGGTCGTAGACCGTTTGGGCCGCAGGTTCAGGCCCAACAATCGATAAACTTATGATCAAAATTTGCCTGCTTCATCGATAAACTTATGATCAAATGCATGTTAATAATACATAAACAACATATCTCAGGCTCAATAATTTAAAAACCCACTAAACAAAGGAGAAGCTTTAGGTGGCACGCATTAAAAAAAAGAAACCTTCTAACTGATCAAGGAGAAGCATCAGAGGGCACTTTACTCAAACACCAAACTCTACTGCATCTACTTGGAGTTGTACTCACCGAACTCGCCTTAGCATTATCCGCGGAAAATAATTCTAAACCATTCTGTCCCGTGGACTTTGTTCATGTGATTGTGAGAGAGAATGCCTTGCGCTGGGCGAAAGCAAAGGCGTCTCGGGTGTTTTACAAAGGTCACGAGAGCTATGGAAGCAACTAGGTGGTGCTGGAGAGTTTGGGTTACTTATAGCATCTTCTTTCAAGATTTTTCCCATTCTTGAAAGAATCCGGAACGCTAGATTCGTTAGTTCTGTTTATGTTTTACCTTGCCATACTGAATCTTTGTGGCATCAAGAAACGACTGAGGGAGATTACGGTGTTTAGATTTTATCTGATATCTAAGCGCTTCTGCTCTGTTCAAGACTGACTCATTTCGACCAGTTTCAGACAATGGATCTTTAGCAAATGACCACGGTGTACCATCTCTGAAATCTTGTGTTGTAACAGTCTTGAAAGAGCAGCCTTGGTGATGAACTTTACAGGATGTTAGTTGCAGAATCTATCTCAGTCGATGAAATCCTTGGATATCTCAAGCTAGGGACTGAACATTTTGCACTTGAGACAGTTAACAAGTTAGAAGCTGCTATATTTGCATGGAACTACTACATTGGAATTACCTTTCTCATTGTCACAAGGGAGGGATATAAAGAGAGAAAGCTTACTTTGGGTATTGCTTCTTTGATGATGGCGGGAAGTGGCATTTCGAGAAGAATGTTTTCGTTTATGGATTTTGTAGCTTTGAAGACTTGATAAACAACTTTGCCCTTTTCAAGCAATTTCTTCCTTCCTGAGTTAGAGAGTCCAGGTTTGGGAACTTGTGGCGATGGAAGCCACCATCTCTTGCTCTCGTTTGTACCCTTGTTCCGTCCCCTCTGCTCTGCTACCAGTTTCAGAATACCAAAATTTTGTATTCACCGTTGTTTTCCGTGGAGATTGTAATGAAAAATTAACCACATCCAGGAAGATAAAAAAGATTAGATCAAAGTAAAAGATAATCGCCTACGATAAGCATGGAGTCCAATTTCTGAAGAGCTGGAAGATTCATATGAATGTCTGCACGGGCGGCTTTCGGTGTCATTATCTGTTCAAACAAGAATTTCAGTTGAGTTTCTTCCTCTAGAGAATGTCTACTCTCTTTTATCTAAATCAAACCGTAGCTGCGTACCTCAAGTGATCTTCCATTGGAATCATTTTGCTTAGAAGGGACTAACTCAATCATGTAGTTGGTTGGAGAGAGTAGCCAATCCATATTCCCTTCGCCATTTCTGTTTCTTCTCCTCGCAAAGGGTTTTAATTTCCAGAGCTCGCCGAAAATCGAGGCTGCAAATTCAGCAGACATCTCAGAACTAATCCTGGCGTTTCACTAGAAAACCTCAACATATAATAAAAGAACATAGAGCATAAATACAAAGGACATACTAGCAAGATGTGTTACGGCATTTGACAAAGCCATAGCCACTTGCATCCACCAGTAACATCTTCGCCGAGTAATAAGTTTAGAAAATTTCTCCTTCATAGCTTCTACATCCAAATGGCAGCAGACATAGCATCAAAATGTTTGGACCTTCCAGACAAGCTCAAATCATCACAGCTGTGTAAATAATGAAAGTTGAAATCGATAATTAATTGCGTAAATAACTCATTCACGCGATAAAAGACTAACATTTAACATAACGAAGGTGACGTTTTAGTAACTCAACTTTTAATATTTTGAAAAAAAAAATCAAGTGTTGGTTATGTTAATAATTCAATGATGCAATAATACGGACGTTTAACTCAATGATTCAATGAAAAAATTGAAGTGTTAATAACTCAACTTTTAATAAAACATAACTTGTATTTTGTTTTTCACTTACAATTTAACATTGGCCCTAAATGGTACATGAAGATTTGAGGAACTCAGAGGAACTGGAGAAAAAAAAATTCCTCTGATACCATTTGTAATAATGAAGAATTTAAGGAATTAGAAGAAAATAAAAAAAATGAGTTGTTTTTGTTTCAAAATCCAAAGCAACATTTGTTTGTTATGAATTATAAATAAGTGTTACGAAAAGGAAAAAGAAGAAAACTGACAATAAGGGTTACGTGTTAACAACGCCCTTTTTCGCTACACATCCGCCGCTCTCCGTCGACTAGGTTTTCGCATTCGATTGTTTTCGTCTCCATCTCCGTCTCCGACTGGTAAATACATCTATCGGATCCCTCAGCTCTCTGTTTTTTGAGCAAGC